TTTCCCCATCCTCAGGAATTTTCTCCCTAAAAAAGTGGGAATATTTCCATAAAAAATCGGGAATTTTCTCCCTAAAAAAGAGGGAATATTTCCATAAAAAATCGGGAATTTTCTCCCTAAAAAAGAGGGAATATTTCCCTAAAAAATCAGGAATTTTCTCCCTAAAACCCCGAGGAAAAGCAGCGAATCCGGGACTCTCCCAATGCTGAATTTTGTGTTTCTGGGGAGTCCTTGAGCTGTTTCATCCCTGCATTTTCTCCCCCGGAATTCCGGGATCTCGGCTTTTCCCGCTTGGATTTTCCGGCTTTTTTCCCTCTCCGAGCTCGGGATCGGGCGCCGTGCCAAGCTCGGCTTCAAAATGGAGGCAGGAAGGAATCCATTTTCCAGGGATTCGGGATGCGGGATTCGCCTTTCCCGACCATCTGGAAGGGCAAAAATCCGGGAATGAATCCATCCTGGAATTCCCTGAGCTGCTGGGAGGGGAATTGGGGATGGGAATTCCCGAAATCCGAGCGATATTCCCAAAAAAAATCACCTGAGGGTCCTGGGAGGGGAAAAAATCCGGGAATGAATCCATCCCGGAATTCCCTGAGCTGCTGGGAGGGGAATTGGGGCTGGAGATTCCTTAAATCCGAGCGAAATTCCCAAAAAAAATCACCTGAGGATGGGGAAAAACTGGGAAGGGAAAAAATCCAGGAATGAATCCATCCCGGAATTCCCTGAGCTGTCTCGAGGGGATTTGGGGCTGGAAATTCCTTATATCCGAGTGATATTCCCAAAAAAACGAGGAAAATCCGGGAATGAATCCATCCTGGAATTCCCTGAGCTGCTGGGAGGGGATTTGGGGCTGGAAATTCCCGAAATCCAAACAATATTCCCAAAAAAAATCACCTGAGGGTCCTGGGAGGGGAAAAAATCCGGGAATGAGAGGATTTGGGGCTGGAAATTCTTGAAATCCAAGCAAAATTCCCAAAAAAACGAGGAAAAACCGGGAATAAAATCCTGGAATAATTCCCACATAAAGAATTTTCCCCCTTGAGCTGCCGCAGGTTTTTACGGAATTCCCAGGAATTCAAATCCCGGGGTTTTTTGGGGGAGGAGGGGAAAAGGGGAAAATTCCCGATTTTTTTGCGGATTTTTTTCCGTAGGTTTACGCTCCGTCCGCCAGCACCGCCGATTACAACCGGGATTCTCCGGGATATCCGTCCTCCAAACCCGCATCCGGCACTTTCCCAAGCTCTTTCTTCATGCAAGGTGAATTCCCAACATTTTTCCCAGGGTTTTTTTTCCGGCATTTCTTGGGGAATCGAGCGCCGGAAACGTCGGGGGGGAAATCGGGAATTTTTGGGATTTTGGGGGATTTTTTGGGGGATTTTTTGCGAATTTTTTGGGGATTTTTGGGGATTTTTGGGGAATTTTTGGGGATTTTTTGGGATTTTTTTGGGGATTTTTGGGGGGATTTTTTGGGGATTTTTTGGGATTTTTTTGGGGATTTTTGGGGGATTTTTTGGGGGATTTTTTGGGGATTTTTTGGGATTTTTTTGGGGATTTTTGGGGGATTTTCGGGGTTTTTGGGGGGATTTTTTGGGGGATTTTTTGGGATTTTTTGGGGATTTTGGGGGATTTTTTTTTTATTTTTTGGGGATTTTTTGGGATTTTTGGGGGGGTTTTTTGGGGATTTTTGGGGGGAATTTTTTGGGGATTTTTTGCGGATTTTTGGGGGGATTTTTTGGGGATTTTTTGGGATTTTTTTGTGTTTTTTGGGGATTTTTTGGAGATTTTTTGGGATTTTTTGGGATTTTTTTGAGGATTTTTTTGGGATTTTTTGGGGGATTTTTTGGGGGATTTTTTTGCGATTTTTGGGGGATTTTTTGGGATGGGTTTTTTGTTGTTGCTGTTTTTCCAGGTGGGAATTTTGTGGTCCGGGAGGAAAAGTCTGGGAAAATTCTGGGTTTTTTTAAAAATTGGGAAAAGTCTTCATTAAAAAAAAAGGGAATTTTTCCCTAAAAAATGAGGAATTTTTCCCTCAAAACTCTGGAAAATTGTGCTTAAAAAGGAGGGAATTTTCCCCTAAAAAATGAGGAATTTTCCCCTAAAAAATGAGGAATTTTTCCCTAAAAAACGAGGAATTTCTCCCTAAAAAACGTGGAATTTCTCCCTAAACAGGCCGGAATTTTCCCCTAGGACAGGAGGGATGGGGATGGGCTGGGAGGTTTGGTTTTTTCCCGGAATTCCGGGGTTAATTCCCGTTTTTCCCCGTCTCTCTGCGGCAGATGGGCACCACGGCAGCGACCCCTGGAGCTCTTCCAGCGGGATGAGCCAAGGCGGATACGGCGGAATGTTGGGAAACTCTTCCCACATTTCCCAGTCCGGCAGCTACTGCAGCCTGCACCCCCACGAGCGCCTGGTGAGCGGCGCTTCCCGGGAACCCTCGCAATTCCCGGGAATTCTCCGTGCTCCTGGGAGTCCTCGTTGTTCCCTGAAATCCCAGAATTCCCACTTTTCCTGCACGGCATTCCCAAAAAAAATTGGCATTCCCATCCCAGCATTCCCACTTTTCCTGCACGGCATTCCCAGAAAACCTCGGCATTCCCATCCCAGCATTCCCAGTTTTTCTTGCTCAGCATTCCCAGAAAACCTCGGCATTCCCATCCCAGCATTCCCAGTTTTTCTTGCTCAACATTCCCAGAAAACCTCGGGATTCCCATCCCAGCATTCCCAGTTTTTCCTGCTCAACATTCCCAGAAAACCTCGGGATTCCCATCCCAACATTCCCAGTTTTTCCTGCTCAACATTCCCAGAAAACCTCGGGATTCTCATCCCGGCATTCCCAGTTTTTCTTGCTCAACATTCCCAGAAAACCTCGGGATTCTCATCCCAACATTCCCAGTTTTTCCTGCTCAACATTCCCAGAAAACCTCGGCATTCCTTAAAATTCCCGGAATTCCGGCTGTTATTCCCATTTTTCCTGTTCAACATTCCCAGAAAACCTTGGGATTCCTTAAAATCCCTGTATTCCCGCTCAACATTCCCACACAACCTGGACATTCCCATCCCAGCATTCCCCAAATCCCCGACTCCGGGAGGCTCCTCCCTCGGGACGGTTCCCGGGATTCCCGGGATTCCCGGGATTCCGGTCGTTCCCGGCTGATTGCGGCCGTGGTTCCCGCTTTTTCCAGAGCTATCCGTCGCACTCCTCGGCCGAGCTGGGCTCCGCGCTGCCGCCCATGTCGTCGTTCCACCGCGGCGGCTCCGCCCATTTCAGCGCCTCCTCCTGCACCCCCCCGGCCAACGGCGCCGAGCCCGGGATGGGTGAGTCACGGGATCCCGGGAAAACGCCGGGAAAATACCGGGAAAATTCGGGGAAAATACCGGGAAAATACCGGGAAAATCATGGGAAAATACCAGGAAAATCAGGGGAAAATCACGGGAAAATGCTGGGAAAATTCCAGGAAAATTCTGGGAAAATCATGGGGAAAATGCCGGGAAAATACCGGGAAAATCAGGGGAAAATACCAGGAAAATACCGGGAAAATTCCGGGGGAAAAAAATGGGAAAATACCGGGAAAATACCAGGAAAATTCTGGGAAAATCATGGGGAAAATGCCAGGAAAATCATGGAAAATACGGGGAAAATACTGGGAAAATCGTGGGAAAATACCAGGAAAATTCTGGGAAAATCATGGGGAAAATGCCAGGAAAATCATGGGAAAATTCCGGGAAAAAAACGGGGAAATACCGGGAAAAACCCAGGGGAAAAAAGGGAAAAACCTGGGAAAATCCCAGGAAAACCCCGGGAAAATCATGGGAAAAAACCTGGGAAAAATACAGGAAAACACCTTGGAAAATCCCTAAAAATACCGCGGGAAAAGCCCCAGAAAATTCTGGAAAAAACCCGGGAAAATCCTGGGAAAATCCCCCCAAAAAAACCTGGGAAAATCCTAGGAAAACTCTAGGAAAACACCAGGAAAATCCCCCAAAAAATCTGGGAAAAACTCGGGAAAATCCTGGGAAAATCCCAGAAAAATCCCTAAAAAAGCCCTGGGGAGAATCCTGGGAAAATCTCGGGAAAACCGCAGAAAAAACCCTGGGAAAATCCCGGAAAAACGTCGGGAAAATCCTGGGAAAACCCTGGAAAAACCCTGGGAAAATCCCAGAAAAAAATCAGGAAAACCTTGCACCTCGGAACCTTCCGGAAACACCGGGAATTCCGAAGTCTTTTTCTGAGGGGTTGGCCTGGTTTATTCCCGGAATTCCCCCTCCATCCTTCGCTTTTCCCGGGAATTTTCCCATCCCGAGGCGGGAATTCCATTGAATTTTCCCCAATTCCCGTTTTCCCCTCTTTTTTCCTGGATTTTCCATCCCAGATCCCTCCGGAATTCCGGGAATTCTCCCATCCCCAGGTCGGAATTCCACGGGGCTGTACCAGGATTTTTTCCCAAAATTCCCATCAGAATTCCAAGAATTCTCCCCATTTTTCCTCCCCAGCTCCCATTTTTCCCCCGCAATTCCAAGAAAAACCTGGATCATCCCATCCAAACCCTCCCCGAATTTTTCATTCTCTGGGAATTTTCCGAAGCGGGAAAAAAAATTCCCGAAGAAAAAAAAAAAAACACAAAAAAAAAAACGGGAAAAGGAATTCCGGGAAGGATTTTTGGGAATTTTCACCTGGAATTTTTTTTCCTTTGCAGCCAATCGAGGCAGCGGAGCCGCCGGAAGTTCTCAGACCGGAGACGCGCTGGGAAAAGCTCTCGCTTCCGTAAGGAATTTTTTTTCCGTGGGAATTCCGGGAATTTTGGGGTTTTTTGGGGGGTTTTTTTCGGGGATGGTTTGGAATTTGGGGAAAAAACAAAAATATTCCGGCGGGGAATTTTTGGGAATGAGGGGAAAAATGGGTTGGGAAGGAGTTGGATTGAAGGGAGAAAGGGTCGGAGCCACGGAAT